AAAAAAAAAAAAAAAAAAAAAGATGCAAAGATGAATCAGACCAGGAGACTAAAGGCATGAACAAGGGACCATTAAGAGTTCAGTTTGGCTGAACCCAGGGTACACAAGGCTCTAGCATAAGATTTGGAAAAGTCAGGACAGGGTCCTATCGAAAAGGGACACTGAATTTCTGAATTTGGGCTTTATTTGTTAAGAAAATGAGGTGTGAAGCATTTAAATTACAAATTTAAGCAGCGACCTAGTATTTCTCATTTTAGAAGGAGGAAGTAATTTTACATAGAACAGACTAGAAGGAAAGGCTAAATGAAAACCAACAATAAAGACTTCATAGAAAAATGAATAAAGGAAGAAGCTGAGGGCAGCTGTAAAACTTTGTAATAGTAAAAACATTCAAGTATACAGCATGGTATATAAGCCTATCTTTATACCTTTATCTCCTGACAACCCCACTCCTCCCAGATAGCTAGCCAAGAATTTCGGGCCACTTGCATGTGCTATTACCTCTTACTGGTATGTCTCTGCTCAAACTATAAATAACCACTCTGTGAAGTCCTCCCTGAATACTCTAGGCATGCCTTCCTCCACACTCCCGAAGTACTGCATACATAACACCTACCAGACCATTTAGTATTCTGTATTGTCATTGTTTACGCTAGCTTTTACCACACAGTGAAGTTCCTTAAAAGCAGACTATCTCTTTCCTTCTTTTCATTTTTTTAATTTTTTATTATACTGGCAGTGCCTGGCTCAGGAGGTACTCAAATATATTTTAATCACTTAAATCAACAAGTGATTGCAAGGTTTCCAGCTTTAAGAATAGGATAACAATGTCATAATGAACACAGAAGTAAATACATGTTTGGCAATAAAAGAGATGGGTTCAAAATGGACATAATAGGCTGGGCACAGTGGCTTACACCTGTAATCCCAGCACTTTGGGAGGCAGAGGTAGGTGGATCACTTGAGGTCAAGAGTTTGAGACCAGCTTGGCCAACGTGGCGAAACCTTGTCTCTACTAAAAGTACAAAAACTAGCCAGGCATGGTGGCAGTCGCCTGTAGTCCCTGCTACTCAGGAGGCTGAGGCAGGGGAATCACTTAAACCTGGAAGGCAAAGGTTGCAGTGAGCCGAGATCGCACCACTGTAATACATCCAGCCTGGGCGACACAGCAAGATCCTGTCTCAAAAAAAAGTGGTGGTGAGCCAGGTGCGGTGGCTCTCGACTGTAATCCCAGCACTTAGGGAACCCAAGGCAGACGGATCACAAGATCAGGAGTTCGAGACCAGCCTGGCCAACACGGTGAAGCCCCGTCTCTACTAAAGATACAAAAAATTAGCTGGGCGTGGTGGTATGTGCCTGTTAATTCCAGCTACTTGGGAGGCTGAGGCGGGAGAATTGCTTGAACCCAGGAGGCAGAGGTTCCAGTGAACTTAGATCACGCCACTGCACTCCAGCCTGGGCAACAGAGCAAGAATCCATCTTTTTTTTTTGTTTTGAGACAGAGTCTTGCTCTGTCGCCACGCTGGAGTGCAATGGTGCAATCTCGGCTCACTGCAACCTCCGCCTCCTGGGTTCAAGCGATTCTTCCACCTCAGCCTCCCGAGTAGCTGGGACCACAGGTGCATGCCACCAAGTCTGGCTAATTTTTGTAGAAACGGGGTTTCACCATGTTGGCCAGGATGATCTCTTGACCTTGTGATCCGCCCACCTTAGCCTCCCAAAGTGCTGGGATTACAGGTGTGCGCCACTGCACCCAGCAAGAATCCGTCTTAAAAAACAAAACAACGCCGAACGCGGTGGCTCACACCTGTAATCCTAGCACTTTGAGAAGCCAAGGTGGGTGGATCACCCGAGGTCGGGAGTTCAAGACCAGCCTGGCCATCATGGTGAAACCCCATATTTAAAAAAAAAAAAAAAAAAAAAAAAACCACCACCAAAGAAAAAAAAACCAAGGTCACCCAGCAAGAAGGAGCAAGTCAGATAGAGAGCAGAACCTCAGGTGTGGAGAGATCAATTTTCCTCCAAGATGGCTAAGAAGGGAGTAGAAAATCATAGGATGACGGATAGAGAAGAGGAAGGAATCTCTGAGGAATCATTTTTGTCTCAGGCAGCAAAACTATAGGCCTTAGACATCATCTGCCCTCCCCTCTCTCCATTCACCAAATCCAGACTCCAATCTTTGCCTCCAGGTCAGGTAGCACCAAAAGAGCTGCCAATTTTCTCCCTTTGAAATAATCTTTCAGATGTACCCCCTTTCTCTTGAGTACTGACTGTGCTCAAGTTTTTATTTTATTTATTTATTTATTTTTTTTTTTTGAGAGACAGAATCTCGTTATGTTGCCCGGGCTGGAGTGCAGTGGCTATTCACAAGAGCAATCATAGCTCACTGCAGCCTCAAGCAATCCTCCTGCCCCAGCCTCCCGAGTTGCGAGGACTACAGACAGGCACATGCCACTGGGCCAATTCTTAAGTCCTAATTACTATTTTCAACAGACACTACATCCTAACCCTGCCTCTAATCTCCCCTAGTCCAAGTCTTCCAAACAGATTTCACATCACTTCTTAGCTAAAATCTCTCACTGGCTGCCAGTTCCCATCACATCAATATCAAATGCTTCAGTCTGGATTTCTAGGCCTTATTACCTAACTATATGCATCCTATCCAAGCAATCTCCAACAAGTATCCTCTGAAAATGCCATGCTCATTTAATTCTCCACATCCAAAGCCCCCAGCCTGTCTCAACAACAACTCAAAGCACAAAGGCTTTGTACACTGGGAGGAATTAGAAGATAACAACCCAATTAAATATAAAAGTACCAGGTCAGGATTATAAACTATATTGACAATCACTTCACTTCACTGTATGCAGAGAAAATAAGAGCACATGAGGGTAAACTTAAGAGGCTATGCATTCGTGACAACGCGCAAACAGTCCACTTACAAGTAGATACAGGAGGAGGCAGGCGAGAAAAAAAAAATAGAAGTAGATACATAAAATAACAGAAAATATGTCCCTGATCTTTCTCTAATTCTAGACAGGAAGTCCCTAATAACTACTCTCACCCACTGCCAAGATAATTTTGTTGCTTTTTTTTTTTTTTTTTTTTTTAGTGAGACGGAGTTTTGCTCTTGTTGCCCAGGCTGGAGTGCAATGGCGCGATCTCGGCTCACCGCAACCTCCGCCTCCTGGGTTCAGGCAATTCTCCTGCCTCAGCCTCCTGAGTAGCTGGGATTACAGGCACACGCCACCATGCCCAGCTGAATTTTTGTATTTTTAGTAGAGACGGGGTTTCACCATGTTGACCAGGATGGTCTCGATCTCTTGACCTTGTGATCCACCCGCCTCGGCCTCCCAAAGTGCTGGGATTACAGGCGTTAGCCACCGCGCCCGGCAAATTTTCTGTTTTTTTTGACATAGTCTTGCTCTGTTGCCCAGGCTGGAATGCAGTGGTTTGATCATGGCTCACTGCAGCTTCAAACTTCTGGGCTCAAGGGATCCAACTGCTGCCTCAGCCTCCTGAGTAGCTGGGACTATAGCTACACCACCATATCCAACTGAGTACAGAGACAGGATGCATCTCACTATGTTGCCCAGGCTAGTCTCCAACTCTGAGCCTCAAGCAATCCTCTCCTTGGCCTCCCAACTTGTTAGGATTACAGGTGTTAGCCACCAAGCCCAGCCAAGATTACAGACAAAAAGGGACAAATAGCAATTTGCTAAGGACTTTCCTTTTTTTTTCTTTTTGTTTTTGTTTGTTTGTTTTTGAGATGGAGTTTCACTCTTGTTACCCAGGCTGGAGTGCAATGGCGCAATCTCGGCTCACCGCAACGTCCGCCTCCTGGATTCAGGCAATTCTCCTGCCTCAGCCTCCTGAGTAGCTGGGATTACAGGCACGCTCCACCATGCCCAGCTAATGTTTTGTATTTTTTTTTAGTAGAGACGGCGTTTCACCATGTTGACCAGGATGGTCTCGATCTCTTGACCTTGTGATCCACCCGCCTCGGCCTCCCAAAGTGCTGGGATTACAGGCTTGAGCCACAATGCCAGGCAGGATTTTCTAAAATTACCAGCAGAATATCTATACCTACTGTATCAATAAGTTAAATCAACTGTGAACAGGCTGAATACATCAGTGTTTTATGACTACATAGAAGAGTTATTTTTAATTACACTTTTCTCAAGTTATTTTTAATTACACTTGTTTACCTAACTTTGCATTCTAAGATTGACCTCACTTGTTTTTTTTTTTTTTTTTTTTTGAAGACTTTCTTGCTCTATTGCCCAGGCTACAGTGCAGTGGTGTGATCTCAGCTCATTGCAATATCCACCTTCTCGGTTCAAGTGATTCTCCTGCCTCAGCTTCCCAAGTATCTGGGATTACAGGTGCCTGCCACCACACCCAGCTAATTTTTGCATTTTTAGTAGCAACGGGGTTTCACCATGTTGGCCAGGATGGTCTCAAAATGTGTGACCTCAAGTGATTCACCCACCTTGGCCTCCCAAAGTGCTGGGATTATACGCATGAGCCACCGCACCCGGTCTCACCTCACTTTTTAAGTCCTCAGTTTAACGTCGGGTGCAGTGGCTCACACCTGTAATCCCAGCACTTTGGGAGGCAAAGGCAGGTAGTTCACCTGAGGTCAGGAGTTAGAGACCAGCCTGGCCAACATGGTAAAACCCCATCTCTACTAAAGATACAAAAATTAGCTGGTCATGGTGGCGCATGCCTGTAGTCCCAGCTACTCGGGAGGCTGAGGCAGGAGAACTGCTTGAACTCAGGAGGCGGAGGTTGCGGTGAGGGGAGATCACGCCATTGCACTCCAGCCCCGGTAACAAAGAGCGAAACTCCGTCTCAAAGAAAAAAAAAAAAAAACAAACACAAAAATCAGCCGAGGATGGTGGTGTGCACCTGTAATTCCAGCTACTCGGGAGGCTGAGGCAGGAGAATCAATTGAACCCAGGAGGTAGAGGTTGCAGTGAGCTGAGATTGCGCCACTGCACTCCAGCCTGGACAACAAGAGCAAAACTCTGTCTCAAAAAAAAAAAGCTCTCAGTTAAAAAATATCAAAGGCAGGGCCGGGCGCAGTGGCTCACGCCTGTAATCCCAGCACTTTGGGAGGCCGAGGCGGGTGGATCACGAGGTCAAGAGATCGAGACCATCCTGGTCAACATGGTGAAACCCCGTCTCTACTAAAACTACAAAAAATTAGCTGGGCATGGTGGCGCGTGCCTGTAATCCCAGCTTCTCAGGAGGCTGAGGCAGGAGAATTGCCTGAACCCAGGAGGCGGAGGTTGCGGTGAGCCGAGATCGCGCCATTGCACTCCAGTCTGGGTAACAAGAGCGAAACTCCGTCTCAAAAAAAAAAAAAAAAAAATCAAAGGCAAAAACAAAAGCAATAGATTTCAACCACAACTTTGACCAAAGTCCTAAAATAATAAACTAGGGGATGGGTACAGTGGCTCACGCCTGTAATCCCAGCACTGGGAGGCCAAGGTAGACGGATCACCTAAGGTCAGCAGTTTGAGACCAGCCTGGCCAACATGGTGAAATCTCGTCTCTAACAAAAATACAAAAATTAGTCGGGCGTGGTGGTGCACACCTACAGTCCCACCTACTTGGGAGGCTGAGGCAGGAGAATTGATTGAACTCAGGAGGAGGAGGCTGAAGTGAGCCAAGATTGTGCCACTATACTCCAGTCTGGGCAACAGAGCAGGACTATCTCAAAAAAGCAAATAAATAAAATAAATAAATAAAAGTAAATAAACTACATACTTGCTTCTTCAAGCTTATAAAGTATTTGAATAATTTCAATTTTTCCCTGAAAAAAAGAAAATTTCTACCTTTATACATTTACTAACTCCCATTTTAGACATGTAAACTACTATCTTAGAGCTCCAATATTTCCAGGTTGCTTTTGTTGTTGTTGTTTTGTTGTTGTTGTTGTTGTTTG